CTCCATGACGCGGTTATTTCAAATTTATGTATGAATATAATCAGGTTAGGATTGCATTTTGGATTATACTTACTATATAGATACATTACATTAAATGCAATATCTGCACTTAACGTCATTTTGGCTCCAAAAATACGTCACTTCAATTTTCCCATCGCGGTACTTTGTTATCTAGTGACTTTACGCTCCGCAACAGTTGAGTCTGCTGAACGCGACTAACCAAAATGCGAGAGAGTGGTCGCGTTCAGCAGACTCAACTGTTGCGGAGCGGATCAATGAGCTCTCGCTGCTATTGGATGATCTAAAAGAATATACCAATAGCAGTGAGCGCTCACGGATCCGCTCCACACAGTTGAGTCTGCTGAACGCGACCAGTGAAAGCCGGTTGCTCTTCCGCAATTTGGATGTAACATGGACTCGCACTACATTCATTTTCGACATTCTCTGGACAGTTTGGACGGAATCCATAAACGTTGCTCAAGATTCGAGATGGTCATAGGGCGGTATTCATAATCGATTCTTATATTAAAGACCGTCTTAAGTACAGTCTTAAGATGTCACGAACCAATCAGAAGGCATTAGCATCTTAAGACATTACTTAAGATGATCTTAAAATAAGAACTGATTATGAATATCGCCCTTAAGACCCGTTCTACAATAAGTCGGATGACGGAGTCGGGTGTCGAATGAGTTGTCGCGAATCAGCTGTCGGTGTCGAAATGGAAGATGGTCAACTCCCATTTTTTTCCGTTTACGACAACGACTAGATGAAACATAACCTTTTTTGACGGATACAGCTATGGTTATTCAAATATTTACTACTAGTACTGTTAAATAAGATGTAGATATTTTATCATGGAATTATTGATGAAATTATTATTGAATTTGTTCATGAAAATCGTTGTTTATATGACAAACGCAATGTGGAGTTTAAAAATATTAGGAAGAAGAAAGATCTGTGGCAAAAACTTTCTGAAAATTTGAGAAATTGTTATACAGTAAATATGTCAGGTATCCACCAGTCGTACCCATGGTGCGGAACGTATACGCAATGCGGAATTGGCGGAACGATGTCCGTCCAATTGCAAGCATTCCGTCAAATGCGCTTCGCTGATATGTCTTTTTTAAACCAATCACGAGCGTTCCGCCAATTCCTCATTGCGCCAATTCCGCATCATGGGACCGCATCATGGGACCGCACCATAAGACCGGACTATGGATTCCGGCCTCTGTGCTGCTTTGTGCTATGCAAGAAGACTAGAACTAAGGAGGATCAACTCGCGTGGTGGGGGTGAGTCAAAAAACGTCCGCGGCTATTCACACGATGTGCAGCGGCACTGCGCATTGTGTGAAAGTTCGATATAAGAGCGATAAAGTGACGATTATAGAACGATAGAGCGACAACTATATAGAGCGACAGAGAGGACTAATGAAGCGCAAGAGTGGGGGAAGTTATCCGTCGCCACTTTTTACCTCACCCCCACTACCGCTATTGGCACGAGTTGATCCTCCTTAGTTCTAGTCTTCTTGGTGCTATGATTTTATCGATAGGATCAGAAAAAAATGGATGTAACCACGTAGTACATGAACCAAAAATTGATGTTCTGGCGCTAGTGTGCTCACTAATAGTATTTACTATTTCATGACAGATTTCCTAACCTGAATTCCCGAATAGTTGTCAATTTTACCGTGTTTACCGATTAATATCCCGCTTTACGGAGCAGAATGATATTTTTTTCTATCAGATTTTTTTCGTTCGTACAAAAATTTGTCGATTGTGTCTAATTCTATCAATATTGGAGAAGAAAGGACTAAAGTATTCATCGTTTCATGCAAAAACACATCGAACGAATCTAATTCCATCAACATTGCAGAAGAAAGGACTAAAGTAAACATTTACCAAATATTTTAGACTGATATTATTTTAGCATTAAAAAGATAACAAATCGTTACTTTTTAAGTAATGGTAAAGCTGGTTTTACAATGAGTCGGTAATCGGAAATCTTAAGTCTTTATCAGTCTTATGCCCGTATTCATAGTCAGACCTTGTACTTAAGGCTACCTTAAATTTATCTTTAGATGCTCAGTAGCCAATGAAATAATTCATAAAATAATATCATTTTTAGACCGTGTATGTGAGAGACACAACCGACAAATTAGAGCCCTATACGGTCGAAGCTAGATCTTAAAATACTTAAATAATTCAATCTTGAATCACTAAGTATGATATGTATGTACTTGACATACCACAATTGTAGTCTAACGAACTGTGCACCGAAATATTTCCGGACTAAACACAATTAAAACACTGTAGTAATTTCGCGAATTAAATTAAATTCTAATAATTTCGATGCTCAATCGGGCATCATATTTCAAAGAAAGAGTTAAGACTACAATTGTGGTATGCATGTCAAGTACATACATATCATATTTAGTGATTCAAGATTGAATTATTTAAGCATTTTAAGATCTAGCTTCGACCATATAGGGCTCTAATTTATCAATTCGTAAAGTATCTAAAGATAAATTTAAGGAAGCCTTAAATATAAAGCCTAACTATGATTACGAGCATTAATCTGAATAGGTAACTATGATTTTTTGCATTAGTTCAACTAATGGTAAGAGTTAAGTCAAATTTGGCCATTATTAAGAAAATCATTAGTTTTAATTGTACAAGTTGGCTGTTGGCGATTATTGACTCATTGTAGAATTAGCATAACGAGTTACTTTTGAGAATCAATAAGCAGTAATTAGTTATATATTTTTTGACTCTGTAACGAGTAACGGTAACTTGTTACTTTTAAAAAGTAACTTTTCCCACAGTTAATAATTTTTTCACAATTTCTTTAGATAGAACAAGGTAGAAAGAGACTCAATAAATACATTTTTATTAAAATGTAAATAAAAATCAGTAAACTAAACATTTAATGAATACAAAATCAAGGGACATATGTCGAAAGATTTAAACAATTTAACGATATATAAATAGAAACAGAATTAGAAAATGGTGATATATGGTGTTTATATTGTATCCAAATCTGGTGGTTTGATATTTAATCATGATCACAATGTCCCGAAAATTGAAGTCGAGAAATCCTTTAATTTTCCACTCAATATTAAATTAAACTATGAGAATAAGAAGGTAGTGGTAGCTTTTGGACAGAAAGATGGAATACATGGTAAGAATTATTTATTATAATAAGAAATTATTTTGGAAGTATAGAATGAAAGAAAAGTAAAGGCTACTTTTGTAATGTTAGTTCATATGTTCAAATAATAGAAAAAGTTTATGTATACATAAAGAGTTTATATATATATATAAAGTTTCAAATAAGATTTCAAATATACTATGTATCTTAATGACATTATCAAATAATTATTTCTTTTTTTTTATGTAAACTATAAAATACAAATACTAATAAACTACAATAAAATACAAATACTAATAAACTACAATATACAAAAGCTTACAATTAGTAGCTTTAGAGCTTAATGTTTTCGACATTTTCGAAAAATTTTTTAAAAATGATTAAAATACAGTAATGAAACAAAATTGGCTATTATTTTTCTTTCACATTGTATATTCTTATAATGTGTCACTAAATATTTTAATAAAGTACTAAAAAACAGGAATTAATATAAGAGAAAATCAAATATTTTTTAGTGGGACATGTATTAACAGCTGCAAATGGAATTGCAATCACAGGACGTGAGCTTGAAGATGGAAGAGATATTCTAGAAATGTTGGAGCAACCAGAAAATTTTCCTATAACATTGAAATTTAGTCGAGCAAAAATGACGACAAACGAGAAGATATTTTTAGCTTCAATGTTTTATCCTCTTTTTGCAATAGCAAGCCAACTGAGCCCGGAACCACGAAGTTCTGGGATTGAGATTCTTGAAGCAGATACATTTCGTTTATATTGTTACCAGACATTGACGGGTATTAAGTTCATGATAGTAGCAGAGCCGTCACAACCAGGCATGGAAATTTTTTTGAAGAGAGTATATGATTTATATGCGGATTATGCATTAAAAAATCCATTTTATGCGCTGGAAATGCCTATTCGATGTGAATTATTCGAAACTAATTTACAGACATTGTTGGAAACTGTAGAAAAATCAGGGATAAGCAATGTTTAATATTGATTTACGTGTAAGTTATTAATAAATTAATTTAAAATAACTAATGGAGATATAAGATTGTAATGACTCCCGCAGACAGGACGCGGTAACGCTTGCAGCGCGATTAGCGCAGTAGCCAATCATTTTTTCACTTTTATGGAAAAGCGATAAACTGATTGGCTCTCGCGCCAATTTAAATATTGGCTACATAATTGAATTTATGGGCTTTTCATCTAGTCTTGACATCAATTCTGTTGTTTTATGGAAAGTATTTCTAAAATCATATGCGTTAATAATATGATAACTCATGAGGTTTGAATTTATAATATAGTAATAACGGCTGTATTCTTGTTTTATTCACGATATTTTTTACAGATATTTATCTTTTTTAACATATGTTAATTTATTTTTGTTTATATTATATATATATATATATATATCTATTATATCAACATTTCTAATATTTTCATCTTTAAAATAATTGAAAAGTATAAACATTCTTAATGAATCTTTGTTCATGGCACTTTATTCCATTGCTGTTTTAAATCAGGCTCTGTAATCTGCAAAATAAAAAGTTAAAGTATCTTAATATATGTGAGAATAAGGATGGAAGATTAAATTAAAAATTTAATCTTTTAATACCTTCATTGTTAAATTATCTATGCAGGCATTACGTATACTTGCAGCAGTTGCAGGGGCATCAAATCTAAAATAGTTATGAATATTCATATCTTTACGCGTAGCCTTAATTGCCTCCTTAATGGCAAAGAATGCAGATGACGCCAGAAATAACGGTGGCTCGCCAACAGCCTGTTATATTTGAATTATTTCTTAATATTATAAGAAAAATATAACAAATATAATATTATTTTATAATATATTGCCATTTTATTCCTTTTCTTTGCAAATTAATGCAAATTAATGCAAACTGATATATATAAAAACGAAAAATATTTGAAATTATACAAGAAAAAATTATACCTTAGAAGAGTATACTGCTCTTGGATTGGAAACTCCTTTTAATAAGGAAACATTAAATTGCTGAGGTATGTCGGTGAAGCCTGGTAATTTATACGCACCAGGTCCTCTACTAAGTAAAATTCCTGTTGGTGAATAAATCATTTCCTCTAATGTGAATAAACCATATCCTTGAACGAAGGCTCCTTCAACTTGGCCTATGTCAATGGCTGGATTTAAACTCTCTCCTAAATCCATAACAATGTCTGTCCGTAAAACCTATACCGATTGAAAAATAACAATATTCATTTTATAAAATGCATGCTTCTATAACATATTTTGAATCTTTATAAAGTTATTATGAGTGTCGTTTATATATGTCCTAATATAAAGTCTGTGATAAAAATTATGACATTGATGTTTTAAAGAAGTACATCAACATTCTAATCTTGTAAACTATTAATTTTTTAATAATACTTTTTCGTACGGAATAGTGTCATGAATCAAGTAGTGTAAAAAAATACATAATTTTGAAAAAGATATTAATTGCATATTGAAAATTGCATAATTATGTACATAATAAGATGTACCTCATGATCACCAGTAAGACAATCAATTTCCACCTCTGTACAAGCAACGCCATACGTAAAGTAATTAAAGGGATTCCCTGTATTAGTTTCAAAAGAATATCCGATGTTGGGCGTTTGATAGAAACCGGTAGCGGACAGACTTATCCTTTGAAAGTGTGCTGTTTTTATCCACTCTTCCCAAGTACCTTTTGGATTGCTTTTAATTATCGGTTGTAAACGATTCATGATTTCCTGGCATGCATTCTGAAAATTAATTTCTACAGTTATTTAATCAACTTTTATTTGCATACAATAAGTATTATATGTCAAATATTATTACACACCATAATAGCCATGCCATTAAGGTCAGATCCGCAACTTGCAGCAGTCGCAGATGTATTGGGAACTTTATCGGTAGCCGTTTCAACGATATGTATCTTTGCTGGATTTATCCTTAAGATTCTGCTAGCAACCTGATAAAATACAAAGAATTTAACTTAACTTCATTTCCTTAATTTCTATAGAGATTAATTGCAATTAATTGTAATTTAAATTATGATTTACATACGCAATTTTATTTAAACATTTGATAAATATTTACATATAGCGAGATGCAAGTGAATGTTATTCATACTTGAATCATTTTTGTGTTTAAACCTTGTCCCATCTCGACGCCACTGTGACTGAGTAGCACTGATCCATCAGTATATATGTGCACTAATGCACCCGCTTGGTTTAAGAATGTTGTAGTAAATGATATACCGAACTTTGTAGGTACAATCGCGAGTCCTTTTTTCTTAAATCGATTCTCTCTATAAAATTATTCATAATTGACTTTAATAATAAGTAATTTAGTTTACAATTTAATTTATAACGCAGATGAATTACTTACCTATTGTATCGTTGAATCTCGATTATTCTTTCACTATAACGAGAAGATGCTAGACATTCGCGCCAGCAGCGATCTAAAGTACAATTGATCAGTTGTTGGTTGAAATGCGTTAAATCACCTTCCTTGTATAAATTTAATTCGGACAACTGTTGTAAAACAAATTTTCAATTATTAAATTTATTTCTATCTGCTTGTAATTTATAAATTGGATGTACAATTGTAGATGTACAATTTTATACATGGTAGACTGAAATACATGATGTAGGCGGCAAGAAAAATAGACAGAGAGAGAGAGAAAGAATAAACACATTTATTTAGAATGTAGCTTTGTGATTATTAAATTCATTTTTCGAGAACATTGTATCAATGTATATCGACCCACCTTGTATAATCAATTTTGTAAAAATAGAAAATTATTTCATTATATTTCAATGCATATATAATTTATAATACCAAAAATTACCTTGACAACATCTAGGTCCAGATAATCGGCGATTTGTCGAATGATAGTTTCAGCTAAAAACATTCCTTGTGGTCCACCAAAACCTCGAAAAGCTGTGTTCGATGGTAAATTCGTTTTACACACATACCCGTATACTTCCGACACTGGAATTTTATATGAATTCTCAAAATGAAACATGGCACGATCCAATACCTGGAAATATTAGAAAAAAATTAATGCTCTTTGTGCGCATGTACATGGCATTATTATATAAAATTTTTAACAGAAAGACTAATTTTCTCAATTTACACCTTATTACTCACCGATATTGATAAATCGTGAGAATAACCAGCATTATTATATATGTGTACTTTTGCCACTTTGATAAGACCATTATTATCAAATCCAATTTTGTATTTAAATAAAAATGGATGTCGTGTTCCACTTATCATCATGTCTTCGTCTCTATCTAGCATGCAACGAACTGGTTTCTGCAATCTATGTTAAAATGTTTCGATAATATAAATTGACAAACCAATATATGTATATGTATACAGTATATATACATATATATATGTATATGTATAGAAAAATTCTGTTTACTGTACACACACTCTATATATGTATTTCAATCAATATAAATTTTTATACACACCTATGTGCTGCCAGTGCCACTGGTACCGCGAGTACCGCCGCACGAGATTCTTTTCCACCAAATCCACCTCCTATGCGCTTTACACGAACATTAACTCTGTTTATGTGTATATTTAAGACATGAGCGATTAGTTTCTGCATTTCAGTAGGATGTTGTGTGGAACAAAATACTTCTAATTCATTTTCTTCACGAGGCACGACAATAACAGCATTTGTTTCCAAATAAAAGTGTTCTTGGCCACCTATACGTACTTCTCCTTCTAAAATATGATCAGCTTCTGCAAAAGCTTTATCTGCATCGCCTTTAATAATACGCTTAGGAAATCCAGGGAAGAACGATTTGTGCGTGATAGCGTCCTAGAAAAAAGTATTGGTACATTTATATATATATGTTATACAGTTGAAAAAATAATCTAAGAAAGAAAAAGTAATCATTTATTGTGTATATACAGGGTGTCCCTAAATTCGCGCTCGCAGAATACAAAAACGTGATACTTTATGATAAAAGAAACAATTTTTTCCTTCAGCAAAAATGCTAATACGGCTAATTAAATAAATACGTAACCCTTGAATGCTGAAAAATGATGTATTGTGTAACAGTGATTAAAATAATAATAATAAGAGAACAGGACTAGAGGGAATAGACACTTATATAAGAAATGCACTAATATTCAAAATACCTCTTAATATTAAAAATTAAACAAATTTATTAAGAGACCGAGAAACAAAAGTTAATTCTAAAGATACTAACATTTATATTTCGGTTAGTTTTCTAATTTTCTTCAGCGATGATCACATCAAAAAATCATCGTTATATAAAAAACTTGGATTATTATATTTAAAAAATATATGGAGGATGCACATGTGGCTGTTACAGTTTTCGAAGTAAGTCAACTGATTTCTCTTGTAGAGAAGATTTTTCCTATATCAGTTGCAAGGCTGGATGAAGTTAAATGTGTTGAATGCCTTGAATATAAAATTGAAATCAGTAAAATTCTAATGGGAAAAATGAGATACAATGATTTACTAGCAAAGGAAACTGCAACAAAAGTGTAAATTGCTAATTCATGTCATAAAGTAATTGATAGGAAGTCACAAAGAGTTAAAATTCGATAATTTATAATCAATAAAAATCGGACAATATAGGAAGTATGTCTTGGCGACAGCAATAAAACAGCAGCAAAATGAAAGTCGGATTCGTTGTAATGACTCAACACCGTTTAAAATGTTTAATGTCAAGTCAACAGAGATAAAAACAATTAGGAGTTATTGAAGTGAATATGATAGGCTTGGTTTAACAGTTTGTTATCTTTTTTTAAACTGATGCTATTTTGTCGTTTAACATTAATCATCTCAGACATCAATCTTTTGTTGTAATTTCGTTCCATATCCAAGATTTATGAAATGGTGATGACTTTTTGTGAGACGACATACAAATTTTGGATATTACAAAAATGTTTATCATACGATCGAATATGGGTATGAATTTATTTTGCAACATGTAATATCTCGCTATTAAATTTATATTTTATGATATGTTCCGACATTATAATTGTATATGTGTACGTAATGTACAAATAGAT